TATTGCAGCAAAGGTCTAAGAGAGGAAAGGGAAGAAGTTATGCTAACATCTTGGTGAACAGCTCTCCAGGCAGGGAGTACATCCAGTGCAAAAACCTCGAGGCATGAGCAAGGTAAGAGTGTGCTGGGCATGCTGGAGGAAGAGGAGGGAGGCCAGTGTAGCTTTGAGAGTAGAGGAGGTATCCCAGAGACTCTCCTTAAAGGAAGCAGGGTGGGGCTCAGCCTGTTGACCAGAGACACCCAGGAAAGCAGATGGCATCTCCTACAGGAGCATACCTAGCTTTTTCAACGAGAAGCAAGAGGTTCATGTGGCTTGAGTCTGACTGCCATGTTGTATCTTAGGATCAATAGTTTTAAACTCAGGTTTCCTGGATTCAATTCTGATTCTAATACTAATTTTTGATCCAATATCAGGCAATAGTGATATTTCTATGCCTGATTTCCACATCCATAAAACAGAGATGATGATGATATTTATCACTTAGGGCAGTTATGACTATAAATGAAAATAATTCAGGGACACAGTGAACATCACATGAATATCAATTATTTTAATTATTATTACATTTATCTCCCTAGCAAGAATGTACTGTCTTACTGTAATAAACTGTTCATGCTTACATATTCATACAGATGAATACACTACAAGTCTTCATCTCTACAACAAGAACAAGGGCCACGTCTACCTCCAGGGTTGCCTCCATTCTCATAAAGGTGGGGATGGATCACCATAAGGAATAGTGCCCCTCTGCAGGCTGCAACACTTTCTGGGTATATAAAGTCCATGAAGAACTGAGAGGTTTGCTGATAAGAGAAGATACCCACTGAAGATAGTAGACAATGAAAAAAAATAGGATAGAAACTGCCAATAGTGATATCAATATGTATTAGTTACCAACTGCTGTGTAAGAAACTTACCACAAACCCAGCTGAAAACAAGAAACATTTATGATTTCACAAAATCTCTGAGAATCAGGAATCATAAAATTGGCTTTGCGGGGTAGTCTGGCTTAAGGTGTCTCATTAGACGTCAGATAAGATGTCAGCCAGGGCTGTAGTCATCTGAAGACTTGAGTGGGGCTGGAGTGTCTATTTCTAAGATGGCTCACTCAGAGCTGTTGGCAGGAAACCACAGTTCCTTACTATGCGGACCTTTCCACAGGGCTGCTTGAGTGCTGTTACCACATGGCAGCTGGCTTCTTCCAGGTTGGTCACCCAAGAAAGAGCAAGGAGGCAACTGCAGTGCCTTTATGATTAAGCTTCAGAAGTGACATGCTTCCACTTTCACCATGTAACATATTCATTAGACACAAGTTACTAAGTCTAGTTCATACTCAAGAAGTACAATTAAACTTTGTCTTTTTTTGGATTAAACAACAAGGATTTATTTTCCTGCTGTTCTGGAGGCTAGAATCTGAGATCAGGATGTTGGCAGACTTAGTTTCTTGAGGTTTCTCTCCTTGACTTGCAGATAAGGTTTTCTCTGTGTGTTGGCATGTGTTGTGTCCAAATTAAGCTCTACCTCTTAAAGGATGATGTATCTGAGAACGTGTGGACATATTTTTAAAACCACCACATATGGTGTGTGAGTTTGGGGTAAAATAACGTTAGCCTTAGGTAGTGCCAAAGTTTACTTTTCAAAAGTTCACAATTTGACTTTTATGTAAACATATGGTGAGCATGGGTCAAATACTTACTAATATAAAAGTGATGAAATCAGCATGATGATAAAATTGAGCTTTATTAGTCTCACAGAAGTGTCCTGTGAGCACACGGGTTCAATTCACTGGGGTCAGGGAATTAAGGAAAACAGTCTAGGCAGGTGGAATTCAGCATTTTTAGGTGAAACAATATCTATTTCTCCTACAATCACTTTCCAAATGAAAACTTGTTTGCTTAAAGTCACTTTACCTATAGACCAGATCTTTATAGAGTTTTGTTTTGTGTTTTGCAACTGTTTCAGTGTCATTTCTATTTAATCAACTTACAGTCAATTTAATAATTCTGCATGAGACAGCTTTACAATAATTTTATTTTTCTGAAAGATGTTCAACATATTAGTGGCATTATGTGAACTGTGAATTATTTTCTCTTTTGGACTGCCTGATACTTCATTTATTCTTGAACACTTGAAAGAGTTTTTAGCCCATATGTCTGAATACCATTTCTTTAAAAAGTATGCCTTCACAATAGTCACACACAAAAAAATGAAATACCTTGGCATCTTCCGAACCAGAAAAGTGAAAGACTTTTACAATGAGAACTACAAAATGCTGCTCAAAGAAATCCAAGAAGACACAAACAAATGGAAACATGTTCCATGCTCATGGGTAGGAGGAACCAACATTGTTAAAATGCCCATCATACCAAAGGCAATCTACAGATTCAATGCAATACCCATTAAATTACCAATATAACTCTTCTCAGACCTGGAAATGATAATACAGAAATTCATATGGAAACATAAATGACCATAAATAGCCAAAACAATCCTTAGCAAAAGAAACAAAGCAGAAGGTAGCACACTTTCAGACTTTAAACTTTACTATAAGGCTACAATAATCAAAACAGCCTGGTATTTGTACAAGAACAGGCACTTAGACCAATGGAACAGGATAGAGATTCTGGAAACAAAACCTCAATTTCTCAACCAACTCATCTTTGGCAAAGCCTCCACCAATAACCACTGTGGAGAGGAGAACCTATTCAGTAAATAATGCTGGGAAAACTGGCAGATCACATGCAGAAGATTGAAACAGGACCCCTATCTACCACCATGGACAAAAATTAACTCGAAATGGATCAAAGACCTAAAAGTGAAACCTCAAACTATAAGAACCGTACAAAATGTGGGAGACACCCTTATGGAAATTGGAACTGGCAACCAATTCCTGATCAAAACCCCAAGTGCCCATGACATAAGAGATAAGATAGACAAGTGGAACCTCATTAAGCTGATAAGCTTCTGCAAAGCAAAAGAAACCATCAAGAGAACAGGGAGACAGCCCACAGAATGGGAAAAAATATTTGCCAACTGTATATCTGACAAAGGCCTAACATCTAGGATCTGCAAGAAACTCAAACGTGCCAAAAGGAAAAAAACAAATGAAACCATTAAAAAGTGGGCAAAAGACATGAGTAGACACTTCTCAAGAGAAGATATATGGGCAGCCAACAGACACATGAAAAAGTGCTCAACCTCACTCATCATCAGAGAAATGCAAATCAAAACCACATTGAGATACCACCTAGCCTCAGTAAGAATGGCCATCATTAATAAAACAAATAACAACAGATGCTGGTGAGGGTACAGAGAAAAGGAATGCTTCTACGTTGCTGGTGGGAATGCAAAGTAGTGCAACCTCTTTGGAAGACAGTGTGAAGATTTCTTAAAGAACTAGAAATTGACCTTCCATATGACCCTTCAATTCCCCTATTGGGCATATACCTGTAGGAACTCAAATCATGAAACAAAAAATATACCTGCACACACATGTTTGTCGCAGCTGTATTCACAATAGCAAAAACATGGAACCAACCATGTTGCCCATCAAAGCTGAACTGGATAAAAAGAAATGTGGCACATATACGCAAAGAAATATTATGCAACCATAAAGAAGTACAAACATATGGACTTTGCAGCAACTTGGATAGATTTAGAGTCTGTCATACTCAGTGATCTGTCACAGAAACAGAGTACTATATGTTCTCACTCATAAGCAGATCTTGAACAATTATCACAATACTATAAGAAAGGGATTGGTAGTAGTGGGAAACTGCCAGGGGAGGGGGGGGTGGGATTGGTAATTGAGGGAAACTCATTAAGGGGTACCTGCATAATGAACATTTGTATACCTAATCCTGAATTGTACTCCACATCTTTAAAATTAAAAAAAAATAAAACCTATACCTTAACAATAAGCAGTTATCAATGGCTATCAACTCAAGACATAATTAAATTGTTTGTTATGCACTGGCCCTTACTTTTACTTCAGACCCATCAAAGAGTGTGGAGGTATTAACATTACATTAATTGAGTTAGATTTTACTAAGGAAATAATCAGACACATGAGCAAAGAAGTAGATATAGAGATACTTGTCACAATATGGTTTTCAATAGCAAAAAAAGTCCCAAGCAAATCACAATAGAAAAGACCGATAATAATGAATTATTATAAATAAATGATGTTACAGCTATATAATGAAATACGATATAGCTACTCAAACTTATGATATCATTATTTAATTGGTATGGAAAGATATTTTGCGATTTTGCTACATGAGAAAAGCAGTTTGGAAAGAGTGTAGGTTCTGTGATGCAGTTGTATGAAAAGCTGTCAATCATTTCATGTGTATGTGTTTTATGTGTAAGTGTTGTCATTGGCTTTCTGATGGAGCACTCGCAGAAGACAAATATTCACGTTTTTCTTTTTTGCGGATCTGGATTTTCAAGTTTTTCTACAATGAGTATGTAGCCTGAACATTCCCTAAGCAGGAGAGCCCCACCTCCAGCATCTCCCATAAGCCTGGCAAAGGCAGGCAGGAAGGAAAGACAGAAGGAAGGGAGGAAGAGATGGGAAGAGAGGAAAGGAGGGAATGAAAAAGAAAGGGAAGGAAGGACAGGGAGGAGGAGGGAAGGGGGGAGGGAGGGAAGGAAGAGAGAAAGAAAAGAAGGGAGGGGGGAAGAGATTTGTTCTAAAATCTGCTTTCTTGAGCTGTCATCTGCACTGACCCCCGGGGTCTGGAAGTCCCTGAGGTACAGGAGCTGAGTGTTCCTGAAGAGCTGGAAAGCCCCAAGGAAGTTCTTCAAAATTGTTGGAAGGAAACTGTCTCCAGAAACTTCCTTCTCCAAGAAAGATAATGAGCAGCAGGTGTTTCTGGTGGCTTAGGGTGGTGTGAAATCACTCTGGAAAACCCTGCTCCTCTTCAGTTGTGGCAGTTTCAGGGCTCCTCCCTAGGCCTTACATAAAAGGCTGAGGCATCCTTGGAGGAGCTGGCAGACTCACAGCTCCTGCCAGGAGAAAGGAGCATTCTGAGGTATTCTTTGGGGGCACTAGCAGGACTGGGGCTCTTTCCTGACCCCAAGCCCAGAAGCTCCTGCTCTGTGGAGGCTGCCCACATGCTGAGAGGCTCAAGGAGCCAATTGCTATCCAGGTACCAGCCAGCTCAGCGTCTGTCTCCACAACTTTCTGTTATTTGTTCCAAAATAGGGGAGTCTACACCCTGTGGAGCTCAAGATGGTCCTGAGTGGGGCTCTGTGCTTCCGGTGAGTACATGAAGTTCTGGGGGAAGTGAGTTCAAGGTAGACCTGTTGCCCAGCTTTGCAAGAGAGGGAGGGAGGGAAGGAGGGAAGGAGGGAGGGAGGGAGGGAGGGAAGGAAGAAAGGGCTGCCACTGCAGCTGGGAAATTGTGATCAGCATCTCACTTTCCTTAAAAAAGCTCTTCCAGCTTTCTTCAGATTGGGGCAGAACTGAGGCAGGCCACCTCATGAGTGTACCCTGATGCTGAGAGGGGCCAAATAACCACTCAGTCTAGAGCTGCAGCCTAATCCAGCCACCATGAGAACAGAAGCCAGGAGACCTGCCCAGAGCTCTGCTCTTGCCACCCAGCACAGAGAATTGATATCAGCCCACCCATTCTGTGCCCATACCTCCTCGCTCCTCTTTGGGGGAATAAATGAAACAGAAAATGATTCATTCAGTTCATCTGTCCATCTATGGGCACGTACTGAGCCAGACACCGGCATGCGCTGGACTTTGTAACAGTGGATGAAAATAGTCTTTTCTCTCAGAGTCTAGTATAGTATCTTCCAAGGTGTCTTTTGTGGGGCTCCAATCCCAGGGCCAACTAAATGCAGCTTTCTCTGTCCTCTTGTAAGAGTACCACAGCAAAACTCAACATATGACTGAGGCTTTCTGAAGTAATGCAACTTGTTTAATTGTGTTTGGCCATACACTGAACCAATTTTTCACACTGCCTACTTTTTCCCCATATAATATCTGGAGAAACCAACTTTAGGATGCATCTTTCAACCCACAGGAAGTCAGAAAATCATCTGAGATCATCGATGAGAAATAACTTTGAAAAGTGAAATGAAAGAACTATAAAATTTAAAAAAAATTTTTTTTATATGGCCAAAGAAGTACATGTAACTGGAAGTCTTCGATAATAATTGAAGAATCAGATTTTAATCTGGAATAGGCTTAGCTATTATCTAACCCATTGTCTTTGTTTAACATTGGGAAGCTGAGGCCCAGAGAGGGTGACATAATTGTCTGCTGTGACTCAGCAGCAATGTAGGCAGAGCTGGCACAAGGACCCAGAGCTCTGACTCTCCCTCCAGCTTCTCTTCCAACAGGAGATGTGTTGGGGTGTAAAAGGTTAAATAGGGTGAAGGAACAAACCCCAGACTTCGATGGGAGGCTGTGGGGGCATCCCCCTGATAAGGCATGAGCCTGGCAAGGATGGGAGAGAAGGTTGTGCTATTACCTCAGGCATGGGGCATAGTGTAAAGAGGAAGACAAAATGCCTAAGATGAGAGGATTCTCTGGAGCCAGGGCAAGCTGGTGTGCCCACCTTTCCCCTAATGGAGTCTCATCCTCCTGATGTTTCAGAATGAAGGATTCGGCATTGAAGGTGCTTTATCTGCATAATAATGAGCTTCTAGCTGGAGGGCTGCATGCAGGAAAGGTCATTAAAGGTTGGTGACAAAGCATGACCCACTTTCCTGGATTATATACTCTGAGCAGAGAGGGCCTAAAGAGGGCTTAGAAAATTATGCAAATTAGCACAGGCCTGCAGACCCCAGCCCTGAGGCATGAGATAGGGCTCTGAGCGAGGACAAATAAAATACTACACACCCTCTAGCCAAGCGAAGACACAGTATCACCTGAAGCTTCTTTGCAGAAAAGGGAATATTTTCCAAGAGGAATGACTTGTCATTTTTCCATAGGTAGACTTAGGTCAAAAATTCCATTTCCCTGGAAGCCAGTGCTGAGGAGAGAAGTAAAGCAGACTTCTCCACGCCTTTCTTCCCATGTGGGGGTGGGTTTCTGACATTTCACCTGCATCCCCTCTGCTTTCTGAAGGTCCTTGGCCACCAGAGAACAGGTGGCACCATTGGGTCTTGTGCTGACTCACTCTGCCCACACATCGCGACAGGTCTTTCTCTAAAAACAGTGTCCACCTACCACCTGAGGTACATTTACCGAGCACAGATGCCAGACAGTTCTCCTACTAGGCTGGGTGTATGTGTGTATATGTGTGTGTGCACATGTATGCATGTGCACACAGGCATGTATGTGTGATCATGTGCATGTCTATATGCATGATCATGTGTATATATGTACGCATGAATCTGTGTGTAAGCATGTATGTGCAGGTATATATGTGCATATGTATGTGTGTGGTGTATCTGCATGTATTTGTGTGTGCATGTTTATATATGTGTATATGGGTGTGTGGGCATGCTGGAGGGATGTACAGGGAGGAATGAGACCTTCTTCTGCTCTCAGAAACCTCACAGGGGGTAGAAGGATTTTCAGACAACTCTAATGGGAGGCTCATCAAGGCAAGTTTTAGCAAAGAGGCCTGAGAACCAAGGGGCATTAAAGGAGGAGTTTGAATCTATCTTGGGGTTTTGAGACTTGAAGATTTGACCCTGGACAAGAAGGGTAGGGTGAGTACAATGAGTTTTTGTGCCTTGATGTCAATTCTGGGCCAGCTGGCAGAAGACCACCCTTCCTGTCATGACAGCAGCTAAGAGCTTCCTTTTTGCCCAGGGGGCGGGATGTACCTTGTTTCTTACAGCCCAGAATGGTGGGGAGGGAAGGGTAGCCAAGACCCTGCATCTGGCCTTCTTCCTACAGGTGAAGAGATCAGTGTGGTCCCCAATCGATCTCTGGATGCCAGGCTGTCCCCAGTCATCCTGGGCGTCCAGGGTGGAAGCCAGTGCCTGTCGTGTGGTACAGGGCAGGAGCCAATCCTAACCCTAGAGGTGAGTCCTGCAGAGGCACCCTTGATATCTGGTGACCTAGCCAACAGACACTGAGCTCACTGAAGTTGAGTGTCCATGGCTTCAGGGCCTCTTGGGATATCTTGGCTGGGTTCTGTTCACGGCAGCTCTGCTTTGTCCCTAAGGGTCTTATCCTTGCACCACCCAGCCCTCCCATTGTCCCCACTCCTGCACGTCACTCACCCTGCCTTCTGTCACAGCCAGTGAACATCATGGAACTCTACCTCGATGCCAAGGAATCCAAGAGCTTCACCTTCTACCGGCGGGACTTGGGGTTCACCTCCAGCTTCGAGTCAGCTGCTTATCCGGGCTGGTTCCTTTGCACCATGCCCGAGGCTGACCAGCCCGTCAGACTCACCCAGCTTTCCGAGAATGCCACCTGGGGTGCTCCCATCACGGACTTCTACTTCCAGCAGTGTGACTAGGGCAGCATTCCCCCAGACATCTTCCCCAGGAAGAGCCAGCTTGGGCAGGGGGTTGATGGAGGAAGAGACCCGTGGTGGGTGACCACCCCTCTGCTCTTAGGGCTTCCAACTCTGACTTACTGGGCACATAGCCACTCTCTTCTCCTAGTTCCAAGTTTGGGTAAATTTTGAGATTTGGGGCTCAGTCTAGAGTCTCCTCCTGTATTAGGTGGTGCTACTGGTGTGGAAACTTGTAAAAACCACATGAGATAAATTGAGCATAACATAAAAATATTTCTAAGTTGTTGGGATGGGGGAGTGGTAGAAATCATCCATACTAAATGCTAACTGACCAAGTACCCTCAGAATCCCATAATCCAGTCTCCCCAGTTGAAACTTGTAGGGCCACCAGCTCCCCACGTGAGTTCTTGTCACTCTCCACTGTATGAAAGAAGGAGATGATCATTGAGTTAGGGACCCACAGTCCTGAGCCCAGTCCCACCCACTTTCTTTTAATCCTGTCACTATCGTAGGCTACCTTTTCCATCTCTACGTTTGTCCTCCTGCCATGGGCATGAAGGAATGAAGGAGTCGGGGGAAATGGCTCCACCTAGTAGATAGAAGATGGGTAGGGCATGCCATCTCTCTTTGAAACACAAGGTACAATAAAAATCCCAGATGCTGGCTTCTATTCATATGAAAAGATGCTTATGGCATATTAAATGAGAAAAGCAAGTTGCAAAGTTGCATATCTTGTAATTTAATTTTAATTTTAAAAATCTATATATTTATGCATAGAAAATAGTCTGAGATACTTTACTACAATTGTAGGAATTTTAGGGTGGTGCCAGTGTAGATGATTTTTCTTCTTATTCTTTTTATTTATCTGTATTTCCTAATTTTTCTGCAATGAAGATGGATTACTTGTATAACAATATGAAAAGAAATTAATCATGAGATAAGGAGAAAAAACATTTCTTATTGTCCTCTGCCTCCACTTTCCCAGAGTGAAATTAAAATTAAATTGAACTCTGCTGCTTTGGTTGGTAGCAGTGGGAATTAGGAAACAGAATTCAGCAAAGACACTGAGAAGAAGGATGTGATAGATTTATATGGCTGGAACCTCCTGTGTAAGGAATTTACAGGAAAAAGTCATCCTGGAATTCTTTCCTGGAATGGTCGCAGCCTCTGGGATTCATTCCAAGGTGGCTGTACTGGTTGAATAGTGTCCCCCCAAATTTATATCCTTCTTAGAAACACAGACTGTGAGTTTATTAGATGATAAATTCTTTGCAGATACAATTAGTTAAAATGAGATCACGCTGAATTAGGGTGGATTAAATTCAATATGACTGATGTCCTTATAAGAAGAATAGAGGACACAGAGGAGACAAGGGGAAGAAGGCTATAAAAAGATAAAGGCAGAGATTTTGGTTATGCTGCCACAAGCCCAACAACACCAAGGATTGTGACAACCACCAGATGCTAGGGTAAGGAAAAGAAGGATTCTTCTCTAGAGCGTGTAGAGGGAGCATGGCCATATTGCAACCTTGATCTCAGATTCTAGCCTCCTGAACTGAGAGACAACAAATGTCTGTTGTTTTAAGCCATCAAGGGTAAGGTCATTAGTTGTAGCAGCTCTAGGAAATTAACACAGCTACTAATGACTCCCTCCTGGCATTCTCATCCTCTGCGTGTCCCCTTCCACATTGTTCCAGAGTTGTCTATGATCAATAGGATATAGCAGAAGTGATGGTATGCTGCTTCCAAGATTAAGTTTTTAAAGATACTATAGCTTCTGTTTGAGTTTTCTCTCTCTCTCTCTCTTTTTCTGTTTCTTGGCTCACTCACTCTGGGGAAAGCTGGGTACCATGCTATGAGTAGTCCTATAGAGAGGCTGTGTGGTAAAAAATAAAGTCCCCTGCCCACAACCACACGAGTGAGCCCAGAAGCAGAGTCTCCAGTCTTGTCAGGTGTTCAGATGACTGCAGCACAGCTGACAGCTCGACTGCAGCCTCACAAGAGACTGAAGCTCCAGATTCCTTCCCCTCAGAGATATTGTGAGATAATCAATGTTTGTTGTTTTAAGCTGCTTGGTTTTAGGCTAACTTATTCTGCAGCAATACAAGGGGAGACCCCTCAGAAATGGAGTTTATTTATTTTAAAAATTGTGTATTGATTCTTACATGTTTAAACTTCAGTCATCTTCAAAGTACTCTCTGCTTAATGCAATACACCTTCTGAGATGCCTTTTCCACTCCAAACCATTTTAAAACTCGTCAGTTTTGATGCCTTTTAGAGCTTCTGCTGTTCTTAGTTTCACCTCTTCCTCATCAGCAAAATGTTTCCCTTTGAGGACTTTGTTTTTTAATCCCGGGAAGCAACAACCAGGGAAGCAACAAAAAAAAGTCGGATGAATAGGGAGGGTGGGGCACAAGGGTCAAGCCATTTTAGGTCAAAACCTGCTGAACTCACAGCACAATGTGGGCAGGTGTGTTGTCATGGTGGAAAAGACAGTCACCTATTTGACACAACTCAGGATGATTTTTCCACAAGTCATGATGCAACCTTTTCAAAACTTCCAGATAAAAGCTTTGGTTGACCGTTTGATCCGTAGGAACAAATTCCAACTATACGACAAGGGGCCCACCCTCCAGAAGACAATTCTGAGTTTGTTTTTTTTTTTTTGGTTCCCCCCCCATGGATAACTAATAGGTAGAGAAAGATAAATAAATGTATTTGTTTTGTTATAATTGCATTTTTCTTCAGTACTTTTATTTTCTTTCTCAAAATGAACAATCCTTTTATGTACCCAAATGTTCTGTTTAAAAGCTGATCATTTGTTGACTGTTCTCTGTGTCTGGAAAGTTTAGGTATTCCTTGGTTGTCGTTGTACCTCTAGTCCTACGTGCCAGGAACTGACTCCAGTGTCCCCACCTAAACCCTGAGGGATGAGAGCAGAAACCATAGGAGGAGCTCATATTTGAGTTCCAGGTATTCTGCCTGCACCTCACCTGTCGGACCAGCCTGGCAGGTTTAGAGTTTGCTGAGGGACTAGCAAGGAGGTGGCTGGGATAGAAGGGGCTGCCTCCATGGGTCTCAGTAGCTCCAGTCCAGATGCAACTGAAGTCCCTGGGCAGCAAACAGAAAAGTTCCTACTCCAGGCCTCTCAGGGTTGCTAAAAACAAGGACTTCAGACACCAGGCCATGTTTCAGACCCAGTTCCCACATGCTCTTTGTCAATGGGTCTGAACATAGTCTCATGCCCAGCACAATTCCTATGCTTTTGAGCTCTCCATTCATCTGTTCTGCCTAAAGAAAGCTCTCATCCTTTCAATTCCCTGCTAAGATGTCACCTCCTCCAAGAAGCCTTTGCTGAGTTGAGATCCCTGGTCCTCTGCTCTGGCAATGCTTTGTGCACACCTCCCTGCATTATGGTAACTTAACTTGGAGTCTATAGTCTATGAGATGACCTTAAAGTTAGGTCTGCATCAGTTTGTCTCTGAGCACCTAGTATAGTGCTTGGCACATAATTGGAACCCAGTGGGTATAGCAAGTGGCAACTCTTTCTTCACCCTGAAATCTTCACTACCTCCCCTCCACTCATCTAGACAGGCCCACCCTTAAGGAAGCAGCTTAAATTCTACCTCATTCTTAAAGTTCTCTCCAGCCTGAAGTGATTGCCTCCTGGTTTGTAGAATGACAGAATTCAAAAGGGCTGTAGCCAGGATGAGCTGACACTTGCAAGTTAATGATAGCAAAGGTAGAAATACAAAATGCTACCTTTGAAAATGGCTCGGGGGCTCAGTTTATAATCCCAGCACTTTGGGAGGCCGAGGGGAGTGAATTGCCTGAGTCTGCGCCTTCGAAACCAGCCCAGGCAACTTGGCGAGACCTCGGCTCTACAATAAATAAAAAATTAGCCAAGTGTGGTAGTGCACGCCTGTAGTTCTGGCTACTTGAAAGGCTGAGGTGAAAGGATTGCCGGAGCCCGGCAGGTCGACGCTGGGATGGCCATGGCGTGCCACTGCACTCCATCCTGGGCAACGGGATGAGTCGCCAACTCAAAAAAGAAAAAAAATGTGTGGGCTGGGAGACCCTGACATCATGATTGTCAAGTGAAAAAGAGCTATCTGTTTTAGATTTCTGTGATTTTGGTGTAAAACATTGCCTGGGCCTGTATTTACAGAAGGTGCAATAACTATACCATTTGGGGTTTGTACCAGTTGCAGACACTGAGGAACAGAGAATGTCCCAAGACCAGGTCATAAGGAAAGAGGCTAAGATACTGAAGGTCTTTATCCTGAAGAAGCAATACACAAGGACCCCTTTCAAGCGCTTGAAGTCATACCAAGTAAAATGAGATAATTCTGTGTAAACAGGATCCATGGGCAAAAACCATGTGGAGGCTGTTTTTCCTGTATGACCCCAAAATTTTAACCACAAAGACCACAAACATTATTAGCAATTCTTCAAGAGGTTGTGGGGTTCCTGGCTCTGGAGTGTTGTTACAGAACCTAATTAACAAATTTCTCAGGGATACTGTAGTGTGAAGTTCTCCACTTGAAGGGAGACTGTGATATCATATCTACAGTCCTTTCAATTCTAATAATTTTTGGTCCAAGAAGTTTCTCTGCCACTATTGTCTCCAGCATGCCCTTGACCCATAGCTTAGAGAGTCTTTTCAAGTGTTTATGATTTTGTTCCCCAGTGCAACTGTAAAGCTACCATGCTTTACAGGGACCATGCATTGAATGTCTTTACAGGGACCATGCATTGAATGTCTTTGTCATACAGCAGTGTAAATGCTTGGTAAACACTCATTGATTGCCTGATATAATAACCCATGCTTTGGACCTTCCCACAGAGGAATGATGAACTGGGAGAGAGGTGAAGAGTGATCGTTGACCTTAGAAAGAAAAATCTAGTGCCATCTCTGCCCATCTTTTTCATTCTTCATCCTTTAGGCATCTGTGTAAAGTTCTGTCTTTGGGCCTACCAGACATAATCTTTCTTGCACTAAAGCCTAAGATGCAGCCCCACAGGACACCAAATATGTCTGACCCCAGCACTGTTTATCTGGTAGCTAAACCACTAATAACATAGTCAATAACAGTAGCTACAGAGCAGGGGTTCAATGTCTGGTCCCTGCCAAGGCTTTATGGGTGACTCTCTCCCCCTTCAACAAACATTCATTAATGCCCTCACCTTCTTATTATCCATACTGCATTGACAACATTGTGAAATCACTAGGCTCTTCTTCCTCCCTGCCCTGGAGCCAATTATAGAGATTGCTGCAGGCCTGACCCACCCTCACCAGACAGTATAAACGCAAGGTAGATGCCCTGGAGAAATCAGTTGGAGCCTCCAGAATCAGGGTTCCAGGTATCCAGGATCTGCAGGTCAGTGGTGGACAGGCAGTATTCTCTCTTTCTCTTTTTTCCCCCTCTCTTCTATCAATATCTCTAATACTGTCCCTTCACTCCTCTTGGCAAGTTCTCTAGGTAACAGATTATCCCCTCACAGACCATGGTGGGATGCCAAATATGTTTAGAAGCACATAGAAAGATTTGATGGGTAGGTATAGGATAAGTCAAATCAGGATTTTTGAATATTTAGAACCACAGATTTTAGAACATAATCACAGAAGAAATCATCTAGGTCAGTGGTATTCAAACAATGTTTGGTGAAACTTGAGGGGGCCTTAGTTGCTTAGGAGTTCCTCAGTGCCTGCTTCATAAGCAAGAGAAGTGTGAGCAGGGAGTCTAGTATCTCTAACATTCCCTGCTTTAGCAAAAGTAGGTCTCCTTTATTCATTTTACATTCATTAAGCTTCTTTGTAAAACTTTATTGTGAAACTTAACCATTTTGAAAGATACTGACCTTGCCCAAACTCTCATTTGAATGATGTTAAATTGAAGGCCCAGGGACAAAAGGCAGCGAGATAAACTGGTAGAAGAGCTGGGTCTAGGCCCTAATCTTGCCATTCAAAATCTGCTGTGTGTGTTTCTATGGCCTGTTGTTAAGAACCAATGTATGTCAGTTAGGGTGCTTGGTGTGAGCTTCAAGTGAGCGCTAAGCAAGGCTTCATAACTTCAATGCCTTATTAACTTTTATAAGGGAAACAAATGTCTTTATGTACAATAATAAACAATACAATAAAATTTAATAGGAGTTCAGAGTAGAGTTACAATCGTAAGGGAAAGATTCATTAAACTCTGAGTCATGGATTCACAGATAATTTGACCTAGAAAAAAACCTTAATGACCACATAATCTAATCTTCTAAATTTATAGATGCTGAGACTGAAGATTGGAGGTTAAGTGACATAATCTGTATGTCTGAGCTGTTACTCTGAAATGATCATTAATTTGGCAGATCTTGATACCGAACCCATGTATACTGATAAATATTATGATCAGAGCTCTTACTACCAAAAGATCTGAATGGATGGTGATGAGTAGGGATGACTTCTGAGGCAGGGAAACCAAATACAACTGTAAGTATGCTTGTTGAGAAGATAAGAAAGAAGTCATGTGGCCTGGAGGGATGGCTGAGTGTCCGTGGAGAAGTGAGACTCTGTCATACAAGTAAATCAGGGCCAAATATGGCAAAATGGGCAGTCACTGTGGATTCTAGATCTGGGCAGGGATGTGGTATAAGGAATCCTTAGAGTGTGCATCCAGGCACCTCACACAGGTTGGGTTGGATTGAAGGTGGAAAATCCAGGAATACAAGCACAGTTATAATGGTGATTAAGAACACAAAGTTATATTTTAAAGGAATAATCTATAGGGACTTGTCAGTAAATCAGATATCAAGTCAGGAGATGTGGGAGATATTGTCAATGGTTATCAGGTTTTGAACATCACTGATGAAAGGAGTTTTCTGGCATTGAGAGAAATGAAGCTGGGAGGGATAAGTGGGTTGGAAGGAGGAAGAGATAATTAACCCTGAATATATTTGGTTGAATATCAGTAAGATATTTAAAGGGGGATGTCTCATAGGCAGCTGGAGATAAGTAGGATGTTCAGTTCAGGTTTGGAAGGCATTAGACCAAGATGATCATTGCAGCTGTAGAGAATGACGACTTGAAGTGCCATGGGATATGAAATAGAAGTGCTTAGCACTTTGTCTTATGAATTAAAGACAGCCTTAGAGACAGCCCCAGAAGGAGGGTGAGTTGGCAATGGGTCTGAAAAGGAGAGAAAGAGCAATATAAAGGGAGTCAATCAATATCAAGGGGTTCCAAGGAGACAGTGCAGTGAACAAATATCAAAGGAATCCAAAAAAAATCTCTGGATTTGGCTCCACAGAAGTTAATACTTGGTCTCCAAGAGAACACTTTACATAGGTAATGTGCAGGAGGACAAGGAGCAGATAGAACAGGTGTGATGTGCAAGAGAATGCGGAGAAAGTCCAGGGGCTATTTGCTGGTGATATTTGACCCCAGGCAGGTGAATTGAGGAGGCCTGAGAAAGCCAGAGGATGTATCCATGGAGAAGTGGGAGAAAGAAAAGAAAGATATAGACCAAAGTCCAGCAAAAAGTCGCTTGGGGACAATAGGGAATGGAAAGTTTTTAAGATGAAGCATGTGGCCCATTGGGAGGGACAATGGCAGAGGCTCAGTTATGAGACCTCAGGCTCTCGGATAAACCAGAAGCCAGCCTCCCACTTAGGAAGCACAATTCATCATAATCTAACCAGATCTCAGACAGAGAGGACCTGATAAGAAAGCCTTTAGAAAAGACACCGGAATTTTGGGCTGCTCCAGGATGCGAGGTTTCTAGGTCCCAGAAGATTCGGTTGGATTGAACCAGCACTGAACTTCTGTCAGCTCTTTGAACTGACACTGATGAAAGTGGGAGTCATCAGCTTCACACAAGGCCCTCCAGTTGGCCTACCTCAGCTGGGCACAGCTACAAGGCTGCCCATTGTCCTGCTGCCACAGTCAAAGTAGCCCCGTGGTTTGGCCAAGGGGGAGCACATCATCAAGTAAGTTTGTACTGAGGCCATGCTGCTGGTAGATCATCTGTGCTGGGGGTTTGCCTGCCCCTTTACTACTCAAGGTGTTGTCCAGGGATTCGCAATGCTAATATCCGATCCCGGACATGTTTGAAATGTAGAGTCTCAAGCCCCATCCCAGACCCAAGGAATCAGAATCTGTATTTTAGTAAGAGCTGTGGGTGGTATATATGTTGATTAAACAGTGAGAAGAACTGAATTAGTTGTGATGGATCACTGGAACCACTTTGAGCCTTGCCAAATCAGAGCCTTCAGCCTGGGAAATAGCACTTACACAGGGTCCACCCAGTGATTCAGATGGGCAGGCACATTTGGGAGTCAATGACTTTAACTGAACACTTCACTTTGAAACTTACTCTATGCTACAGAGGAAATTCATGTTCATTGTAAGAAAAATGTCGAGATGCTATAAAATATCACTCATAATCCTGTCAGCCATAGCAAAGTGCTGTAACAACATCAGTAGTCTTTATTTCTATGTATGCATGCAGATTTAAATGAAATTATAATGTTTAAATGATTTATAACCTCCAATGCTCACTTAATAAATTTAAAATATTTGTGCCATAAAATAGGCCTCTATAATATCATCTTTAACAAACACATTCTTTCTTTCTTTCTTTCTTTTTTTTGAGCTGGCGTCTCACTCTGTTCCCCAGGCTGGAGTGCAGAGGCACACTCACAGCCACCCCAGCATCGACCTGCTGGGCTCTGGTGATCCTTCTGCCTCAGCCTTCCAAGTAGCTGGAAATACAGGCCCTTGCTACCATGCTTGGTCATTTTTTCTATTATTATTGTAGAGACTAGGTCTCGCCGAGTTGCCCGGGTTAGTCTCGAACCCACGGGGTCAAGCAATCCACTCTCCTCAGCCTCCCAAGGTGCTGGGATTACAGGCTGAGTCCGGCCCGTACTTTCTTATTTATTAAACAGGCCTCAATTTTTTAGCAAATTGTCTATTATTGGACATTTAGATTATTTCCAATTTCTCACTATTGTAAAAAATAATGCATTGAACATCTTTGCAATTGAACATTTAGACAACTTATTAGTTTTCCTTAGAATAAAGGCAACACATGCAATCACAAAGTATACAGAATACTTCAGTACTTTGGTTTACAGCACCAACATCTCTCAAGAGTATGCACTCTCACCAGAGCCCTATGATCGCTCACTCTCACCAACTCTTTAAGTCTTACCCCAAAGCTCAGTGGCAAAAAATTCACTTGTTCAAGGTGTCAGTGGCAGATCCAGTACTAAAAACCACCTTGGCTACAACCCTATTTCTTCTAACACCTGGCTGTGGAGATTAGGTGGTCAGAAGCCCTGCCTTTGGCACCCACCTGTTCCTTCTTATCTGTCTCCCAAAATGCTCTGTGAGCATCCTTCTCTTAGCCCCATATCTTTCTTCCCACCTGCCTTCTTTCTTTTTTGTCTCCTTTTATTTTCTGCCTTCTTAAATCCTTTCTTCTCTTTTTCCCTGTATTTGGTGGAAATCAAATCTACTTGGTAAACCTCAGCCCTAGTCATCCTTGCATTTACTTTTCTTGGCTAACTGCCAATTCCTCATAGGTTCCAGTTTTTTTTTATTTTTGTTTGTTTGTTTGTTTGTTTGTTTGTTTCCTTCCTGCTAGTTTCTGGTCTTTCTGGAAGACAGTCATTTCAGGGAAGAGCTCAGGACAGGATAATCCACCGTGAAGGTACAAGTCACGTGAAGCTGTGTGGCCTGGCATTTATACAGGGGCACTATCTTCACTTTAGATTGTTCACCCTCCAAAACACAAGTGCTACTTTCCATCTGGAATAGAATGAGGGAACTTGGATGGGCTGTCTTTGTCTATCTTGGCCAAGTGAGTCCATTCATTAGGAATGATGTTTTCCAACTCTCCAGGGAGCCACCCCCTGCTCCAGCTATGACTGGAGACTTCTCCCAGTTGTGCTTTCTTCTCTGCTCTTGGCTCTGGGTATCTAACCCCCTAGGTAGAGAGCTGAGAGTGTGGTGATCCCCTACCTGGCTGGGCAGTGGGACTGGGTTTGAGCCAGGCTCATCCTCCAACTGTGAGGCTAGAGCACACCCCACCCCACTATCAGGCCTGGAAAGTGTGTGGCTCAGCTATTTGGGGGAACCTGTTCTGTTTCTCAAAACTGGCACTAGCACACACGTCCCAGGTGCACTCACCAGCTGACTCAACATGCTCCCAGATGGCCCCAGTGGGAGAGAAGCAGAGCTGCCTGGAGCCTGCTGCACTAGTGGAAGTCTTGATAGATCCTGACAGACCAGGTATTGATGCATGGCCTGGGAGACCTTTGCAGCCTGTGGTTGAATGGTTCTGGGTCCCAGCGTGTCTTCTCCCTGGCTTCACCCACCCTCTTTCTCTAACAGCTCTTCTCTTCTCCCCTTCCCTCTCAGGAGAACCAGGAAACCCTGATTTCAGGAATGTGCTCCCTACCCATGACAAAATACTACATGTGAGTTGTCCTGACATGTCCTTGCTTTCCCAATCAAGGGGTCCAAGGATCACATGGGAAGAGGGAAGGAAGGCTGAGTCAGAAGATGAGGCTTCTTCTTACTTTAGAATTCTCAGGTGCCCCATAATTAAGCTTTATCATCACCACAGTAGCAATAGCTCTCTTTCTGAATGTCTCTAAGATGCCAACCATCCTGTGGCCTCACCTCTATATTAAGAAATATCAAAGGAAGCATTACTAACCCCATTTTACTGAGAAACTGAGGCTCAAAGAGGTTAAACAACTTTCCCCATGTCACACAGCTACCAAAGCAGAGACAGGGACCAGATTCCACATCCTCTGTGCTGCTCCCTCCGCCTCTCCGAAAGCTCAGAGACAGTTTTGAATCTCAATGAAGACATCTTTCTGGTGACTTTGGCCTTTATTTCCAGTCTGGGTTTTCAATCTTAATCTTCATTTTACCTTATTCAAGATATGCATCCTCCCTTATAGTTTACTACTTGATTGTTTGTGATTTTGTCACAACAAACTCTTTGAATAAAATAGAGTTGATCTCTGGGATGCATTTTTCTCAGCTCTTCCCATGGGCCCTGCACTGTCCTGGGCAAGAAGTGTGTGGGGGTAGTCCTGGCCACTGGCAGGTAACAACATGGCTGGGAAGACAAGACACAAATGTCTGAAGTATGCAAGTGACAAAACAGATGTCAACACTTCAGGACATTTGGTTTGGATTCTGGTTTCCAGATAGGCTGTTGCTTACAGGTGAGGTGTCAGTTCTGAATTGTCAGGGTTAGAGGGGGAGTACCAGTCGGCAAGCTAAGATCTTCTCAGACCTTTATTTTTATTGTATAAGTGAACCTGCTTTTAACACATACAGTCATTAGCTAAGGGTATTATAATGAGCTGTTATGGAGAGAGAAAAAAATCCCCTGGAGGAGGGGGTGTTGGCCCAAGGTTCTGGCCTAAAAGGTAATGAGAGCTCCCTGCAGGACTTTAAAGTTCTTAAACTATCTGAAACGCAAATCACACTTCAGTATTCATTTAATTAATTCCTTTATTAAAGAAAATAAACATTTACAAAAAAATTGAAGCAGGCCCAGAAAATCTGGGGTGAGGTTTACTATATCCTAAAAACATCTAAGAGGCTCACTGGGAAATTTCTCAGGAAGTCAGGAAAACTTTTTTTACCCCTCTATGAGAGGATGTTTCTTCCCCATACTCCTCTGACAGTCTTGGGGTGCGCAAGCCAGGTGAAGGTAGAAAGTGCAGCCTCTGGAAGTGTGAGCTCAGGAGGCCTTCCTTGCTTCGCGATCGACATGGCCTTTACCTGCTCTTGTGAGTAGTAGTACCCACTTCCCTCCGGTGGAGGAGAGAAAATGCTTAGGGTTGTGATTCAAGGCATGGAGGTGAAAAGGCTTAGAGGCGCAGTGGTACCTAAAGGGTTGTCAGCCCTGTCATTCTGTTCCAGAATTAAAGATGCAGATCAAAAGGCTCTCTACATGCGGGATGGCCAGCTCCTGATGGGAGATCCTGTTGCAGACAACTGTTGTGCAGGTGAGCTTCTGGGGTCTTCACCTGTGGGGACTGGGTCCATGCTCCATTTACTATAAGCCCATCCTTCTCCTCTTCCCTCTTCTACCCACTAGAGGCTCAGTGGCTGCCCCCAGTGACAGTGGGAAGAGGCCGGAAGCAGCTGTGGCCTCTCCTGGTGAGGGAGCATGACCCCTTCAGGAGTCCCAGCTCACTCTGCAGCCTGCATGCAGGGCCAGGCTAGGTGTGCCCAATTTCTTTCTGCCTTTGCCCACCCAGAGTCGGGGGTTCCCTTATCTCTTGACGGTCTCCTCTCTTCCTCCCAGAGAAGATCTGCGTACTTCCCAACAGAGGCCTGGACCGCACCAAAGTCCCCATCCTCCTAGGGCTCCAGGGAGGAAGTTGCTGCCTGGCATGTGTGGAGACAGGAGAGGGGCCTTCTCTGCAGCTGGAGGTGAGAGACCCCTTCCCATTTCAGGGGACACTGCAGACCCAGTCTGGCCCCTGGGATGCTCTGGCATCTCTGTGCCCGCCTGTGGATCTTGGCCAGGCCCACACATTTCCCTCCCTCAGGTTTCCACCATCTCCCTCTGCACCCAGCACCAAGATCCTGGCCCTCTGGAAACTGCAGAAGGCAGTTTCCTGGGCAAAGACATTCCCTGTCAGGTCCCTCTTTGGCCAAACCCTGGAGTCCTTGAGGGCTGACATCTCGATCAGCACCCTCAAGCCTGCAGCTGCGTGCCTTGCCCCCACAGGACGTGAACATCGAGGACTTGTACAAGGGTGGCGAACAGGCCACACGCTTCACCTTCTTCCAGAGCAGCAAGGGCTCCGCTTTCAGGCTCGAGGCTGCTGCGTGGCCTGGTTGGTTTCTCTGTGGCCCGGTTGAGCCCCAACAGCCAGTGCAGCTTGCCAAGGAGAGTGAATCTTCAGCCCGCACTGAATTCTACTTTGAGCAGAGTCGGTAGGGAGGCAGGGGGCTGAGTTCCAGCCTGGTTCTGCCAAACCAAACCCATCCTGCTGAGGGTCTGTGGGAAGCAGAATAGTGGTCCCCGAGACACCCCATCCAAATCCCCAGACCTGTGAATATGTTACCTTACATGGCAAAAGGAGCTTTGCAAATGTGATTAAGAATCTTGGATGGGGAGACCATCCTGGATTATCCAGGTGGGTCCAATGTCACCACAAGGATCCTCATGAGAGGAAGGCAGGAGGAGGCGCGTCAGAGAGACCGGAAGATGCTGTACTGCTGATTTTGAAGATGAAGGCAGGGACCATGAGCCAAGAAATGCAAGTAGGTTTTAGAAGATGGAAAAGCCAAGGGAAAGGATTCTCCTCTAGAGGCTCCGGAAGAAAAACAGCTTTGTGACATCTGGATTTTAACCCCCTTTAAACTTTGGACCTCCAGAACTGTGTACTAATAAACTTGTGTTGTTGTGAAGCCACTAAGTTTGTGGCAGTCTGTTACAGCAGCCATAGGAAACTACTACAGAGCCTTAGGCTGCCCTGTGTGCAGTGTTTTTGATGCAAAGGGTGTGGGTAACTCAGTAACGTTGTGAGTTCTTCTTAGAAGGCTACTCACAGCTTCTCCTCCAGTCCATCTGCTCCAGAGCCACTAGAGACAATCCAAAAGTCCTAGGCAGAATCCAGCTCTTCTCCTCTGCCCAGAGACAAAGCTTGAGTTCTAGATCAAGTCTTGTGGTTTTTCTACCAGATACTTTGCACTTAATCATTCAACCAACTGATTGGCTTATCAGTTGTCTGTTGGTTTTGAGGTGAGAGGGACAAACAGTAGTGAGGGACAGGCAACGAGTGTGTCCTGGTCATGCTGAGTTTATGTTTGCAGTGGAGCTGAGTTGAGGTGGCTTGATCTAGCTGAGAGTACAGGGCTGGAACTTGGCTGTGAGTTTGCAACTGGAATTCATACCTGTCCTCAACCCAAATGCTTCTCCATTTTGTAGGACATCTGTGGTTGGGCTCAAGCTAGAGCAGAGCTTGTGGTATATCAGAGCTCAGAGAAGGTATGGGCTGTTGGCAGTCTCCCTTTTGTGTATAAGTACTCAGCACTCACCTAGCACACTCTAAGGTCTGACTATGTGTCAGAACCTGTAAGAATAGTCTGTTGAACCGGGCTCGGTGGCTCAGCCTGTAATCCCGTGCCTTGGGAGGCTGAGGTGAGTGGATTGCCTGAGCCCGTGGGTTCGAGACCTGCCTGGGCAGCGAGACCTCATCTCTACAATCAATCAAAAAATCAGCTGGGCGTGGTAGTGCGCGCCTGTAATTCCAGCTACTCAGAAGGCTGAGGCGGAAGGATCGCTGGTCGAGGCTACGGTGGCCGGGAGCGGCCACTGCACTCCAGTCTGGGCGACAGAGTGAGACTCCCACTCAAAAAAAAATAAAAAAAAAAGAATAGTCTGTTGTCAACCTCAGAATGACACTGCAAGGCATTCTCAAAAGTTCTTACCTCCATTGACAGATGTGGAAACTGGACTAAGGGAAGTGAATAACTTGCTAAAGGCCACATGGGCTCTACATGTTTGAGCTCAAAATAAAACCTGGCCTGGCTGACCCAATGCCACTTCACAAATTTGTATTCCACTCCAGGAGCTGGGGATAGAATGGCAAACAAACTCCCTTGAAGCTGGTAATTGAGTGGGAAAAATACTAAGTGGACAAATAAGAGAAAAAAAGGTCACCTTTTCAAGATTAGAAGGTCAGGGCAGCAGGTATTCAATGGAAATTTTGATAAGATGGTCAGAGGAGTGGATTTTTTGTTTTTTGTTTTTCGGTTTGTTTTACTTTTTTGAAGAGGTGACATTTGAGTTGAGGTGGAAGAATGAGAAGGAGCTAGGGATAGGAAAGATCTAGGCAGAGAAATAGCAAATGCATAAGCCCTGAGACAGGAGGGAGCTCGTAGGTTCAAATAACAGCATAAGGTGGAAACGGGAGTGGGCCTGCAACCTGGAGAGCAAAGCGGTGCTAAGGAGGTGAGCAAGGTGAGTGAGCAGGAGGTGAGCTAGGAGGGATAAGAGGTGAGCAAAGCGGGCAAGGACTGGGTCATGTGGGACCTTGAAAGCTAAGGGTTTCCATGCACTAAGTACAAAAGAAAGCTACAGGAGTGTATTAAGTAGAGGAGCAACATGATGGGTTCCACGGCTCTGATAGGTTTAGATTCTTTCCTGAGCATTGTCAGCTACTTATCACCTGGACACTGTAACTATGTGTTTGCCTGTTGGAACTTAGTGCTTTTTGAATGCAAGTTCTATTCAATTGTATGTCTGTCACTCATGGCCAGAACAACTGCTGGCATATAGAAAGTGTTAAGTACAAAATCTTGAACAAGTTAGGTGATAATCACTTGGTCCCTGTTGGACTGTCCTAACATGATGTGAGGAGAGCTGTAGTAGGAGGTGGACAGGGTTTCACCGAGGAAAGAGTGTTTAATCTGGACCTCAAAGAAAAAGCAGAAGTTTTTCAGGCAGAGAATGTGAGAATGGGCATCGTAGGCAGAAAAAAGCTTAGAAAGGTGTGATGAGTGAAATCTCCCAGCACATCCAGGGCATGGTGAGTCATAGATGTGGCTGGGACCCAGAGCTTATGGCTGAGGAGTCGCTAAAAATTAAGGTGGGAAGATGGGTGGGGCCTGATTGTGAATGCCTTTCAAAGGAGTTTTATCCTGGAACCCTGGAGCAATCATCCAGGTATTTTAAGTAGGACTCAGATTTTAATCCTGGGCTCCTGAGATCAACATCAGGCTGACACAGATGCTACTACGGCCTCAGCTCATCTCAGCTTCTCCCTCCCACCCTCTCTCCCCTAACTCCTTTCTGTTTTACGTCAACCTGGGGTCAGTTTCGGTGCTCAGGTTTCATGGTCAGCCTGACCCTTGCTTTATCTTCCCTGACCAGCATATTTCCTTCATGCATGTATTGAATATTGGCATATTGAAATTGTAAAGAGTTTATCTGAGCAGACAGCAATTCATATATCAGGCATGGCAAGCTGTTCAGGGTTCCACCCGGGGGGGGGGGCAGGAAAAACTTTTATTAGGTATTTAGGAAGCAAGAGAAAGAAAAAAATGGATTGTTTTAAGCTGAATGTCCCTAGTTAGAGGTTAGTTGGCAGTTCCTGATAGGTTAAGGTTAAGTTTTGCTTTCTTAGGCAATGACCATTTACTCTGAGCTGGGTTTCAGTTTGCTTAGGTAGAGTCTCATCACAGTGAAGCCATTTCAGTCTAATAACTTCCCAAGTAATTATTTTAACATATGTTGACTCATTTCTGCTGGCCCTTCCCTTGTGAACTGTGCCCATGGGCCACTCAGGCAGACCCAGGCCTCCTAGTGGGCCTTGGCCCACGTTGGACCATGTTCTCCATATAAGTAAAAAACATTTCAAGCATCTAACATTTGCTAATTCTGTATTCGTGCTTGGAAGAAGAAGAGGACACAAAGACTTATAAGATATGGTTGCTACCCTTCAAGGACACCCACTGTAGGTGGGAAGACTAGATCTTAGATTAAAAGCTACTGCTTGTTGACTGCTCTTTATGAATGACTAGAAGACACTCCAAACAGCACTCAAGGGGTCATAGATTCAAATTCTGCAGGATTCTGGTAGAATCAGTGATTGGACATCTTGGCACTGGGGATGTAAAAGTAAGAAATTGGGGCAGCTTCTGACAGGTCCAGTTCAGAGATGCCAAAAATACTCTTCTCCCACACCCCAAGGCTTGCTGCTTAAATTCCTTCTCCTCCCTGGAGACCACACCAAAGACTTCACTCAACAACCAGGCTATGAGGATTATTATTATGTAAATTCAAGGGAGAGGCTCTCTTTAGGTCTTATCCACTATTTACATCTCAGAGTAAACTGCTAGGTCTGGAAACAGAGTAAACAGGCAATTGGAACATGGTGTGGCCACCTCTCAGTCAAGAAGGAGCACCAGAGAGCTGGAGGCTTGGAGAAGGTAGATGCCTATGCCTGAATGTGTATGATGTGTGTGCGTGTGTACATGAACATGTGTCTGTATGTGTGCATGCATGAGCATGCGAATGCCTTGATGAGCATGCATGCTGTGTCTATACATGCCCACAAAAGGCTCCAGATGTAGACAGCGATTGACTCATAGAGCACCTTGACTTTATTCCAAGAAGCTATGGAACAACTTTACACAAGAGGGCAATGTGTTCAGAGTCTCCTATAACTCGTGTGTCCTGTCATTCCAATCAGGATTCAAAATCTAGTTACATTTCCCTTTGATCCAGATTTTCATCTTGTGATCCTATGTGCATGCATCACTATAGCCTCTATGAACAATTGCTCAAAACGTCACACACAAAATTCTGTAGAATACACAATTCCTGTCAATTCTGGGCAAATCTAAACCCAGATTTAGGGAGGGAAAAGTAAAAGTGAGGAAAAGTGGTGAAAATGCTAATGGATACTACATTTTCCTGGAAGTCATTCGCTAAAATATATAGCCATTTCATAAACGAACTTGACAGAGATGAGAGTAATGAATATAAAGAGAAAAGGTAATCTTGGACCAAAGCACTGGCATTCGGATTACTTGGTTTTTATTTCCAGTTGGATTTTACACTGTGTAACTAAAAGAGCTCACTAAGCTTCTACCATATCTATCTCCAGAATAAATTCCAGTCTCTGTCCTAAAAGTCACAGACTGCAAACAACCAAGGGACAGTTCCCTGAGCGCATTTCTGAGGTTGGGAGCCTGCAGTGTGGCCTTTGGGCTGCAGATGGCGACAGAGATCAACTTCGGCACTGACAGTTGGAGCTGGGAGCTGTGCTAGTTATTAAATTAAAAATTTCAAGTACTTAGTAACTACTGTGTGTCAGCCTCTGTGCTTCAAATCTCTGCCTTATTTACAATAGACACATCTCAAACAGTGTAGATCCTGGTCATGTGAAGACATCACAAATCTCGGTGTGCTCCTTCCTTCTGATACCAAGCATCTTAGCACTTCTTGACATGAGGGACATGGACTCTGCTCTCTGGCGGCTTAAAGACTAGGAGGAAAGATAGATATTAAAATTATCCTCTCTTTTACAATTTTTGTTTATATGTGAAGGTGCATTACCCATGTGCCTTATCCCTTCTTCCTGAGATAGAGGCGCTGCAGTTGAGTTCCAGAAAAGCCTCCTCTACACCAGGACATTTCTCACAGATATTTTCCAAGGGTCTGTAGCCATAAGACCCAAGACATTTTTTTTTTATAATCAATATTTTTTATTATGATATTGTGGGGTATAGTTAAGGGTTAGGTATATAAATACGTTTCATTCAGGCACC